ATTGGATTTGGTATAATCATGGGTGCACTTGCTGTTATTCTGAATTATATTGGTATAGACTTGGGTTATATGTACTTGCTCATGGGCATAATATCTTCACCTGCTGTATTTCCCGTGGCATTTACAATAACTTGGAAAAAACAATCCGCTATGGCTGCTATTGTCTCTTCAATTGTTGGTGTCATTTGTGGAATTATTGCTTGGTTAGTTACCGCTAAAAAACTTTTTGACGAAATTACTATTCAATCTACTGGTGACAATTATCCTATGTTGGCTGGAAATTTGTATGTATTATATATCAGATATATATATATATGTGTGTATATATTATTTGTGTGAAACTTTTAATAACAGATAACTTTTTTGTGTTAAATCTAGAGTATCCATCTTAGTTCCGTTGATTATTACCGTAATTTGGTCATCAATTTTCCCTGATAATTTCGACTTTGATATTACCCGTACAGAATTAAAAGTTTTAACTGATGATGAAGTTAATGATACATATAAAGATGTTGATCCAGCTGAAACAGATCCTGTTAGATTAAAAAAAGCATTTCAATTTGCTCTTTGGTGTAGTATTATTTTAACAATCATATTAGTTATTCTTTGGCCATTACCCATGTACTTTTCGAGATATGTTTTCTCCAGACCCTTTTTCACTTTTTGGGTGGCTATAAGTATGATTTGGGCCATTTGTGGTGCTATTGCTGTCGCCATCTTTCCGGTAAGTATTTTTAAAAAAATATTGTACTGTTATGTAAAAAAAACATTGGGATTAATTTTTATTTCTTTTATAATAGGTGGTCGAAGCAAGACAGAGTATTTTTAGAGTAATTAAAGGTGTCTTTTTGGATATTACTAGAAGAGGTACTGGATCAGTTGATGAAATAGTTGAAGTCAAGCATGACACAGTTAATAATGAGAAAGTTACCAAAGTCTAATTTTATTTTAAAGATATTTTGTCGGTGTTTGGGTTTTAATAAAAAAAAGCTGTATTTATTTATTATTTATTGATTATTTTTCGAAAAATCTCTAATAATAAAAAATGTGTATTTTTTCTTAGTTAAGTTATTTAGATCACTTTTTTTGATAAAATCTGTTCAATTTTTAATTAAGCTATAAATTAAGAATATACATATACTATTAATTTTACAATTACTCATAAATAATTATTACTGTATTATACATATTTTTGTCAAAATAAAGTATGTAGCTTGCCTAAAAAAATAGTTAATTCTGGATTACATCGGTGGGTATTATTTGAGTTATGGTCTGAATTAGACTTAATTCAGGCCGTAGAATAATGTCCATGCCCGCTATTTCAAGACTTTCAGCTGCGGGTTATTAGTGGTAAGTTACAATGATAA